AATTCGCGTGAAAAAAAATTAAAACCTTACCGAGTAAGTGCCTCGCCATTTTTCAAATGGTCGGAACAACAGAGATAGCCCGTTACTGTACGAGTAGCACAGAATGTTCCGACCAGTCTTAAGAAATAAAAAGTTTTTTTTTCAAAATTATTGTCGTTTTTTCTGCGTGGTGTGAAAAAGGATCTGAACGAAAAACTCACTTTAATGCATATCCGACGGTCATAGTAAATAGGCAAATAAGACAACAATCGTAGAAAATTGCATGGAAAAGCAAAAAAAAATGAAAAATTCTAATTCTTTCACTCTTTGCAGAAAAGTTGCAAAAAAATTCTTTAAATTGAGCTATCAAGGATTTAAATTTTCCAAAAACGAGCTGAGGCTATAAAAATAAAGATATAAAAATGAGGGAGGGTGGGACGCAGACCTGACTGGCTAGATAACGGAAACCCTTTATCGTTGTGAAGCGAAATCGCAAGAGTCTTTTTCGGCTAATTTTCATTTTGGAAACGTTTGATATTTGAAGAGACTGTCTCATTTTTCATATATTCCACATAGCAGCAAACTAAAAATTGGATGCAATCATTATGGATGTTATGGCAAATTTTCTTGGATACGCTGATTGAAATACTTTCCTTATTTAAGACTTGAGCCAGAAGCCAGATTTTATCCCGCTGATCGTATCGCGTTTTTGCCATGCGCCTGCTAATCTGCCACATGCCGGTGGAAGCCGTGTTTATATGGTTTGCCGTTCAAAAAATATCAGATCATTGGTGTCGGGTGTTTCCGTGCGTTCATTACCCGCATTTTAATTCCTTGCTCGCTATGATTGCCTATAAGATGTTAACATCTATCGAACTTGCTAGAGCAGGTTGGTTGATCCTAACCGATATACTTTTGCCTTGAAGAATTTCTGTTCATGCAATGAAGCCAGTTTTGACTGTATTCAATATTCAAGTTTCCTTTTTGCCAAGAGAAGAATGACCATTGGAGGCAATATGTCAAATGGTCGATTATCTTCTACCTAGCAAAATGTGCTATTCAGTTTTGGAGAATGGTTTCGAATATGCTAAAGAGTGGCTTTGTTTATAGTCAAAAGATTCTTTTTCATGTCTTTGAAGTTGTTACTTGCATTGTCTCGATTGAAATTATATCGGTGTGTTTTTCATCCTTTTATTGATTGCCTTTGCGATAAGCAATAGTATTGCAATCAGGTACTAGACTTTTTTCCCGTGTATAACTTGGTTCAAAGGAATCATCTGGACTCTGTTGGTACCTTCGTTCATAATGAATTCAAGTTTCTTTGTGTCTCCTGTAACTTAAGCCTGGAGGTAACGAACACGCCTGGGACAGCAAAGGTCTTGTCGAATCTGACCTGACCTGTTTTTTTCAACGGTAAATAAACTGTTGTCCTAATATTTGGTTTGTTTTCGGCTCAACAGGTTTTCACACAAATTTTGTTGCCGCTCAGTAAATGATTTCCATTTTAAGGGCTGTTAGTAAACTTCATCCGATATAAACACGAAGTTTTTGTAGCTCTAAATTTTCAAATTTCGAATATGCTAAAGAGTGGCTTTATTTATAGTAAAAAGATTCTTTTTCATGTCTATGAAGTTGTTACCTGCATTGTCTCGATTGAAATCATATCGGTGTATTTTTCATCTTTTTATTGATTGCCCTTGCGATAAGCAAGGGTATTGCTATCAAGTACTAGACTTTTTTCCCGTGTATAACTTTGTTCGTAGGACTCATCTGGACTCCTGTTGATGCCTTCATTCATAATTAATTCAAGTTTTTTAATGCCTTCTGCAACTTTTACCCTAGAGGGAACGAATACGCCTGGGACAGCAAAGGTCTTGGGTTCGAATCTTACAGGACCTGTTTTTTTCAACGGTAAATAAATTGTTGTCCTAATATTTGTTGTCCGTCGCCTTTGTTGCCGCTCTGTAAATGATTTCCATTTTCAAGGGCTATTTATGAACTTCATCCGATACAAATAATAAGTTTTGTAGCTCTAAATTTTCAACTTTTGTCAAAGTATTTTTTCAAGTAGTTTTTTCCACCACAATTTTTCTGATTTTTTTTACCTGTCTTTTTTTCGCTCGTTTTTTTGTAGCGCAATGTTTTTTTTGCGCCGTAAGTGTTGCGAGTAACCGCTTCGCCTCTGTATGTCAATTTTTGCTCGTTAGGTGATTTTGGTACTTTTGTTAGATTTGTAATTTTCCACGGTTTTTTGGTTATTTTCTGATGCGGCTTGTTCTGCAAATGCTTTAGCAGCTTGGTCGAAATATCTATAAATGCAATTGGATCAAATTCTTTGCGACCGTTTTAGATTCACAAAAATTTCATTTCCAGTTGCTAAAAACAAGATCTTTTTAAAAATATGTTTTGGATTTTTGATGCTACCATGATTTTTTTTGTCCATAATGATTTATTATCCTTGCTATCACCAAGCATTATCAAATGGAAACATATTTTTTTTTTCAAATTAGGTATTTTTTCAACAGCAGGATTTTGAGCAAGTTTGCATTTTGAAGTCCCATTTTCTTCGAAGTTTGTATTCATGTTGGTGGTAAATGTGAACTCTTGAGCTCTTTTTTGTTTTTTTTTGGCTTCAAATGTTTATTCGATATGAAAGGTTTCGGCTAATATGATTTCGGCGTAGTCGAATTATATTGCATGGTTTGAAAGCGCTAAACATTTTCAATCGTTTGCGTGCTTGTTGAGCGAAACTTGAAAATTTGTAGCTCAAAGCTTAGGTAATTTGTCGGCTCAATCACCATTTTTTTAAATTTTGTTTCAAAGCTAATTTACTGCTGAGATTTGTCCTTATTGGACATGTTTTTAGTTGAACTGCATTCGAGACAAATGTATAAAAATTTTAGAAGAGATTGTTTTCGATATTTTTCCCGAGCTGTTTTTTCGATCAAAGTTTTTGTTCAGTTATACCGTTGCATAACTTCGATGCTATTTTTGTAATTATTTGTTATTTACACTAGCGCGTCAGCATAGTATATTACTAAGAACCTTCTTTTTTTCTAAACTAAGTTCCAAATATTGGTACCACTTTTCGGGCACCTTAACAGCTTTTTGATAGCATGTGGCTTAACATTCGAATAGTATTGAGTAGAATAAGTTACCACAGTTGATGCATTTTTATTTCTTTGAACGATCCGTAAAAAGCTATTTAATCCAAACAATATAACAAAAATAAAAATTCAATTCAGTAATTGTCTAAATCAATATATCTTGCAGTTTTTTGAAATGCGTAATTTATGCTTAATGTGGCTTTATGTTTCGCGATTTGTTACATGCAAAGAGTTATTGTGGATGCCTTCAGTTTTGTCACATTTCAAATTAATACTTGCAAAGTTGTGTCCATCTGTATTGGCAATTTGTTAGAATTTGTAGCTGATTTGTTCGGGTATGTCGGTGGTTAAGCGTGTGTGGCTGAGTGGTTAGTGAACGAGACTTAAATTCTCGACATTGCAGTAGGTCGCAGATTGAATCATTGACGTAGCCGAGTTTTTTTATACTAATTTTACTAATTCGAGGCTCATTAATATTTTTTGCACTTTCTAGAGCTGCTTTTTGTCGTGTTCTGGCTAGTGTTTGCGAAGGGAAGCTTCGCTTCTGTGTTAAAGTTTTGTTTGAAATTTACCCGGAATCATTTGCGTTTCCTAGATTGAGCAAGCTTCATCAAAAAGTGGCAATCAGTGGCTTCTACACAATAGTCGATTGATCATGTTTTGTCTAATTTTCATTGCAGTTCGAAGGCTTAATTTAGTTCATAAAAAATAACCATTTTTTCCTTGTTCATCAAAACTTCAAAACATAGTGGTTTGTGCATATTTACATTATTTAATGCCAATGATTGCATTTTACTTCTTGTTGATTTTCGCTCTCCTTTTTTTCAAGAAACTCTTGAAAAGTTGTTTAGACTCGAATTGTTCCGGCCATTTGAAAAATGCGGAGGAATTTTGAATTCGGGTATGTTTTAGTTTTTTTGTTTTCCACGCAAAATCAGGTACCACAAATAATCATCGGTATGGGTCGAGTGATAAATCATATTAAAACTCTTTAAGTCGTGATTTGATTGATCTCAAAAAAATTGGAAAACAAATTCTCAGTGTCGAGAAAAACCAGTTCGAATTTTTCGTCTAATTTCAAGCTAGTAAGGTCAGGCTAAGCAGGCTTACAAAAGTAAATGTACAAAAGTAACATTTGTAAATTTGTTTGAATTTTTGAACGATTTTTTTTCCGTTTTTCTAGGCATTTTTCTTCAAAAACTGTTTTCCAATTGTTTTTTTTTTAATTATGAAGGTCGAATATGCCCGAAAAATTTATGCCACACAAAAAATACAACACTAATTTGAAAAAAAATGTATTTTTTGTAAGATTATGGTCGGAACATTCTGTGCTACTTGCACAATAACCGGCTATACTTGTTTGATTTTTATTACTATTCTATGCTTGTTTTTTTTTTTACTCAAGTCAAAAGGAGATGCCACCTGACAGGCTGATGCCTTTTTGCTATTATCCCAAACCGAACTAAATTGTAAACGTACAATTTCATAGAATGTATGTTATAGGTGTTGGCTTGAAATTGAAATTATTATAAAATCATTTGTTATGAGGAAAGCAAATAAAGCACTCTTATAAGAAGAATGCAAAAAAAGGGGAATATTTATCCAGTTTTCTCAAATTGGGTTTATTTTATCAAAAAACGTTCAATGGTAAAAATTTTTAAGAATGTGCTAAATCGCCTGGAGATATTATAGCAAAATGTCTGGTTTTTTAAAATATAAATGTTTCTTTGAAATTATAAATTGGGTTAATCTGTCATTATATTGGCGGCTGCTTTTATTTTCAAGAACTATATTTAACAAAACAAATAATATCCGCTGATGGGGAAGTTGCTTTCTGATGCCTTGCCTTGCTAAATATTTGACCGAAAATGGAAAAGGTTTGCTCGCGGATTTTAAATTATTGTTCTTTTTTAGCTCGTACCTGAAGACAGACACTCTCTCCATTTTGAAGAACCCGTAGCCATTCGATAATACAATTGATCAAATCACACTGAATATTTACAAATATGGATGAAAGTGAAGTTACTTACTACCTGGACGAAAGTCATGACGTCTATGCTTTCGACGAAGACAAATTGCACCGAATGGCAATGCGGTACCGCAAAATATCCTCTCAAATGATCCAAATTTATTTGGATAGTTGTCATTTTGGCGAACAGCACATTATTCAAAGTATGCTGCAAGAAAACGCGCTGACCGATCACGTGGTCAACTATCGAGACGCAAACGGCAGAACGGGCCTGTCATACGCATGTGAGTATGGCTACGACGATATCGTGAAAACACTAGCCAGGTGTGGCGAACGAGTCGTGGACCCGAACATAGCGGATAAAGACGGCAATACGCCTTTAATGTTCGCGTCGCAAGCTGGCCATGAAATGTGCGTGTCTGTTTTACTGAACTATTTTCCAAACTTAGACATCGATCATATCAATAATTTCGGACTGAACTCACTAATGAAAGCAGCCATTCAAGGTCACTCGGAATGCGCGCGCTTTTTAATTTTATCGGGAGCTTCGCCGTTTGTACCAGACAGTCAAAAAAACCTGACTCCAGACGCTTGGGCAACGTACTGTGGTCGACTCGGCACTGCGGATTTGATTAAAAGACTGAAAGTTACCCTCGGACCCAAACTTTGTTCTCTATGTGGATATACAAAACCATTGGCTAGTTGTCCAGGACATGCTATTGGATTGTGCAAGACACATAGTCCGTATACTTCGAGACTGGATATCAATTTGCAAAGCACTCCACTGCCCTCGAAGAAAATCACCACTGGTGAGGCTCCTCGACATTTGACTACTAAAATTAGTGCATGCAAAGTATTTGTACATTGCCCATCGGGAAGTGTAGTAAAAATTCACTCGCCACATGACAGTTCCGAAAACAGTTTAGCGCACGCCGGTGAAAATCACACAGAACAAGAAGACGCTTGCGAGTCTAATTTCGAACAACATATGAACTTATTGCAGACGGGAGATGCTGTTATGAGTACTGCGTCTAGTTGTCCTGCTCTGCCAAATTTTGCAAACAGTTGTAATTTGCCAGGCTCGAAAGAGAATATTTCAGCAGGAGACCCTACCAGTTTGCTTTTGTCGAGCAAAAACAAAGTTTCAAAGAAGTCGCCGAAAAAAGCAGGATTCCACAGGATCATTTCGTGGTTCACATGTTTCTCGTCTAAAGAGGTCGCGAGTAAAGATTTCAGTCCCAAATTTGAATCAAAGAGTGTTGAAATTAAGCATAGGAAGAAAGGAAGCAGTTCGAGGCGTAGAAATTCCTACTCGAGACAAGCCCAAGTGTCGCGACGGATCAGTTTTTCATCCTAATATATGTCGTCTTAATGTTATTTTTTAGACAAAAAATGAATAATTTAAATTCAATATTCAATATACAAATTAATTTTTAAATGTGAAGATTAACATGTCTAAAGTTGGTGCATTTAGTGTAGCCGCGCCGCTGTCAGAAAAGTTTGCAGTAGTTGCCTAAGTACTGTGCTTCTGGTATTGCACTTCATAAATAAAACTCGATCTGAGTTGTGTTCTCTTAACTTGGGTTGCGTACTTGGGTAAGATCGATGCAATCTTTGGTCTCGTTCTTCTAAACGTGATGCGTTTGTTTATTCGAAGTAGATGCTGTGTATATCTCTGTATCTTCATCTTCCCATTGTGAATGGGTAGTGAAATTGTTGGCAGAAAATTTAAGACATGAGATTACGTCCATTTAGGTCCTTCTCTGTCTAAGCCCATGGAGTACTTTGCATTTGCTCTGTTTACATTTGGAGGGTACCGCTTGTTACTATTTGCAGCACCCGAGGGTCCGTTGTGGTCCGAGTTTGAGTGGGGTTCGAAGTTACCCACCAAGTTTCCGACAAGTCCTCGGAATGCTACCGGTTCTTTGCGTGTGGGTTTTGGTATTTTTGAACCCAGAAGCTGGCTAGCTTTGGGCTTGTCGGGATCGCCGCTTGCAAGTGAAACTGTGCTTCCAAATGCGCTTTCGTCGCCGCTAAAAAGACTCGGTAAGTTAGTCGTGGAAGTGCTAATAATTCTGTCAGATTCTGTTTTTGTACATTGAATAATATTGCTTTGAGCGTCCCTTAGTAAACTTTGGATAAATTCGTTCTGCGTTTCGATTAATTGTTTGTGTTGGTTCAGCATGATTTCGATTCGGCTTTCGTAGCTGAACCTAAGTTGATCCATTTGAGTGATAAACTTCTCATTCATATCTTTTTGTAGCATATGGGTGGCTTCGATCTGTTTCATTTGGTTTCCTTTTAGAGTTTCGGCAGTAGAAGAGTAAAATTGAATGCTCTCTTCCTTTAGTTTAACGAACCGCTCTTCTTGCTTCTGGCTGAGATTCGAAAGTTGTTCGTCGTTGTGGGTCTCGAGATGAAGAAATTGAGACGTTCCTCGTGACTCGATTTCTTCCATTCGTTTTTCATGTCTCTGTAACTTATTCAAAATGTTCTGAAATTGCTGGTAGTAGTTTTGAGACTCGATCGCCTGACGTGCCATTATGTTGTCCTGGTCTACTTTCAGTTGTGTGAAATATGCTTCTTGTTTTTGATAAATTAGATCGACTTTCACTAGTTGTTCTTCTTTTGCTTGTATGATTCTCTCTTTGGCAGATTTGGTATTTTCTTCGGCTTGCTGAGTCTGAAAAACGGTCGCTTCTTGAATGTGTTTCTGGTTTTCAAGCATCACTTTTTGGAACTCACATTGCTGTTGAACGTCCAAGTATTGCAATTTATCCATTTGAAGCTCATGACATGCATCTAACTGTTTGTTATGGTCTTTCAGTTGACGCTCGTGGTCCGCTTGTTTGTCCTTGACCCGGTCAAGATCCTTCAGAATTTCGTTTTGTCTGTCTGTCATATCGCTAAGTGTTTGCGGGACATGTCTGACGTAGCCTAAAATTTCAAACTTGAGCCCTGACACATCGTTTCTTAACCCGTCAACATGTTCTATGGTGACTTCCTCTTTTTCAGCCTCTTTTTGTTCATTTCGCAAATATTGGTCTTTCATAGATTGAACTATTTCTTCTAGCTTGCCTTCCTGTTTACGTTTGCGGTTCAAGTTTTCTAATTTGTACGGCTTGGCATAGTAGAGCCATTTGTCATTTGAGAAACAGCAAGCACATATTTTGGCAATTATCTGCAGGGCATGTTGCGTCGTTGGCATTATATTGAATGGGGGCGGCAAACAGTAGGAGTCATTAATGAACTGAGCATAAATAGAGGAACGGGCGAATTTCCACTCGACGTCAATATTATCCTCGATGTTATCGAGCACTTTGGTAATCATACCGATCAGAACATTTAGTAGAACTACCACTGCGAGAAAATTGAACATAATAAACAAACAAGAGCCGACCAAGGTATGCAGAGTCCAATCTCGGTAGACTTTGGAGGCGAACACAATGTCAGAATAACCAAAAAGGGTCCAGTAAAGTTGGTATAGGCAACCCCCAATTGTCTGGAACTGGAACTCCTCTTGAGTGTATCGCTTTTTCAGGTAGCCAGGACATTTATCGTTGGTGTTGTTAATATTTTCGATGCCGTAACTGATACTTTCCGAAGGGCCATACTGCTCATAACATGCATGCACAGCAGTGTATTGATCCTTCCAATAAAGAGCATTAATGGCGGAAGCGAAGGATAAATACATTACAGCAAATAGGGCCATAAACTTAGTAATCTCGCCGAACGAGGATCCCAGACTCATTTGCAGTTTTCCCAATTGTCTGTGAGCTCGAAAGTAGTTCAAAATTCGGTTGACTGAAAGAAGGGTCCCTATGCAAACGGCCGCTTCGTAAACTAGCAAGGGATCCAAAATTTTCCAAGCTTGTCGGTCGTTTTCAACCTCCGGTCCGCCGATTATATCAAGAATTCTAGCACCGAACGCGATGCTAAACACTACGCAGATAGATAAGTCAATAATTTTCCAGGTGCTTGTGAAATAGCGCCCAAAACCTAAAAACCAAAACGATTTGAGCTCTTCAAAAATCTGGCCTATGAGCCAAACTAGACATATCACTTCGCGCCAACGTAAAGGAGAACCGTGAACAAATTCGGGTGACGTGAAAACGGTGTTGCTTGGAGGTAGAATTTGAATCTGTTCGAAAACGATGATCATAATAACGATAAAATAGGTGACGATGTTTGCGATAAATTTCATAAAAGGAACTTTCAAGAAGCGAGCTAGTTTGCAATGTGGAGGCAAGATAATACACAGAATAGCCCAGATGGGGGTGAGAAGAATCATGGAGAGAATTGCTCGGAACTTGCGAGAACCGTCTAAGTGGCGCCATTTTTTGAAACCTTTGATAAATTCGTCAGCAAGCGCCAATTGGCAGTGCGCGTGGGCGATGAATTTTTTATGCTCACCATTCAAAGCTTCTTTGAGTCGGCATAAAGGAGCACCGAGACCACTTTTTCCTGTTTCCATGTCTGTCTCCATTGACAGAAGTGTCATAATATCGAAACTGTCCTCCACAGCATTAACGAACTCTGCTGCTAACGTTTCACAATGCTCAGAAACAGCGAAGTACTCTTCGGCTAATTCGTTCTCGCAGTTGCCGAGCCAGCGAGACAGTTTGGATAACTGGAAACAGGTGCTTACTGGATCGTCACATGTAAGCGCAATGTATGCCGGACTAGATAGAGCTTGCAATATCTTAATTCGTTTTCTACAGTCGTGCAAAGTGGTTCCTTTTATCTCGGGTTCAAGGTAAAGTCGCTCGGTGTTTTTCTCGAGTAAAAGACGAATTAGCTCGACGTGGTTAATGATACAAGCAATAATTAGAGGTGTGGCGCCATGGCCGAATACCGGGGATTTGGCTTCCTGGTTCGGATCGATTCCGTACTCGATTAGAAACCTTGTGATGTTGTAGTTTCCGTTGTCGACAGCAGCGAGAAGACAGTCGTCTTGTCTGATTCGGGGATCTGACACTAGAGTTCTGACCAGTTCCTCTTGTCCGTTTTTGATCGCATGCATAAGAGGAGTGAACCCTCTGGCATCGTTGAAATCAAAGTGTTCAAGGTCAGTTTTGAGTAATCTTTCCACTGTTATTCCGTCTCCTTTCATACATGCTGTCATGAATTCGTCTTCGATTTCTTTGGTGGGCGCCATTTGAGCTCCATATTTGCCGTTGGATGCCTCCAAATTGTCGTTGGTGAGGTTCTCGCTAGTTGAAGACGCGTCTTCGTCATCGTCTGCGAAATCGTTCAGATAGCTGTCCTCAGATTCCAAAATAGCTTTTGGTGGTGTTTTGCTCATTTTACGAAATTTTCTGCTCCTGTTGTTTGTTGGATTTCGACTATGGTCGTTTGCGTTTAACAAGGCTTCGTGGACTGCGTCTTGGGATCGCTGTGAGGGATTTTCCCTGGCTTGGAAATGAATCCAATCTGCAAGTTCTTCCATTGGTGCCGCCGGGTTCTTATCACCCATTTTATTCAGAATCACATTCAAACGACCGCAGGTGCGTGCCAGTCACTAACCAATCATTAAACTGGCTTTTGTTAGTTTGATCTCATTTGAATAGCTGTAAATATCCAGAATTGATCGACGCGTGAAGCGTAAAGTACTGAAAGCGTATGGTTGTTGTCCTGAAACAAGGCGGTGTCAGTTATTCAGAGATAGGAATCAATTGTCGTTCTGTTATTCTAAATTAAATATAGCGTGAAGTTTGGCTTAGTAGGGGTGCACGGGTTCAGCTAGTCGCCTTGTAGTATCTTCAGATCCTAACTGAAACATAAAATGGCATATGTAGATATTGGTTTGTTATATATAAATGTTGTTTTATATTGAATTAATAGAACAAGGATTTGGCAATTGGGTCACCTTTTAGTTTGTTAAAAGCGGCTGAAATTCATTTGATTGAGGACATGAAATGAAAACATTGCATGTTGTTAATGGTTTGCTTTTAATATATTCAATAGCTTGTTTTGAAAATTAAATGACAAATGTATCTTCAATTTAAAATTCAAAAATCAACAGTTTCGAACTCTTGAAACCTTGTGATTACCGTTATTTTCGTCGAGCTGTTTGAACTGTAGTCAGGCTTCAAATAAGCAAAAAATTAAAGATGGTGGTAATTGTGTGCTGTTTTATTCACAAAACATCAGAGTTCTTCGAATGGAAGAGCTTCTTGGGCAAAAAAAAATCCTGTTTCGGAAACTGATTTAGGTCAAAATGAAGGTTTAGCTGTAAGCATTTATCGCATAATAACATATTTATCACATTAGTTTTCGACTGAAGCTTGCGCTTCTAAGATAGATGGAAATGTTTGCTTAGTAGGCGTTGGCAGGCAGATCGGAAAACAGCAAAGGGGTTTCAGTTTGCTATTCCGATATGTCGCTACTCCAGTTTAATAAAATATCACCATTTTATTAGATAAGTGGCGCCAGCTGAAAACACACTGCAAGAGCTCACCGAGCATGTCTATTGAATCCAAAAATAGTTACCAAATAACTAACGAGTTTTTTACGTCAAATCGTGTATAACGTCATTTTTCACATCACGAAACTTATATTTGTATGGTGGCCTTAAGTGGAATTATAAAAAACCAAGGTTTGTTTGCTAGCATATTGCAGGATAATCTGCATTGTTTTTTGTAAGCAAACTCGATAACGCATGCGGGCAAGCAGCACAGATTTTTGGACACTCGTCTAAAAAAACCGTAAAATGAAAGTTTTCGAAACTATTTTTCCCCGTTTTTTAATTTTTATGTTTGAAAGGGTAGATTGGCGTGTGATATTTAGCTTGCTGTTGGAATTATAAGTATGAACAAGATTGGTCGGTTGCTGTGAAACGAACACGGGACGTGAGGATTACAGTCACCTTCGGAAAAATTAGGTGGTTTTTTTCTAAAAGGGACACTGAAAGGGGAAATTCCTGTTACCTCTGTTAAAGTATTTCAGATTTGTATTCCTATAAGTTCAAGAAGTGTAAAGTAACGGTGGCGTACTATTCACTAGAGTGAATTCAAACAAGGTGATATCATTTAAAAGCGCTTCCAGTTCTTAGTATTTAAATAGAACTAATTTTTTCAATACAATGTTCCAATGTGTTCCAACCTATTTATGTGAAATTTCAACATAACTGAATTCAATCATTTGTTATTTCTGCGTTATGTAATCTGGATACTTACAGAATGCACTACATAATGCGGTTTTCAGCTTATATTTTTTTATGAATTATTTTCAAAACAAAGTTGGTGGTATAATGTCCAACTGTTTTTGGTGCAATCAATGATTTTTAGTAAGGATTAAATAGACCACATTTCTGTGTTAGTTTTTTTGTGAGAAACGTTTTTGTTGTTTTCAATTTTTTTGTTGAGCGAAATAGAAAGCGGGAGAGAGAGGAGTCATATCGAATAAATCGGAAGTGAAGTTCTGTTTAATCTCGAAAGGTGCTCTGTCTATCTGACTATTTATTTGAGGTTGCAGGAAGTATAATCAGCTGTAATAGAGCCGAAAAATGCTAGTTCAAATCGAGACAACAATAAATAGTGACGGAGGATTAAACATACTTCGGCCGCAGAAGTAAGTTTCGCATGTACCGTAGAACTGGACGTCTTACCCACCTTGGTGCTTAATATCTACCATATGTGCATGAAACTAGTCTGCATTATCAAGAGATTTTTTGTCGGTTTTATTAGTGAAGTGTTAGAATAAAGATAGGAAGGGGAATCTGTTTTATGGCTGAATAAAATAAGTTCTCAATCCCGTTGTTGGTGCAGAAATAACTTGAATTAGACCTTCTTGTCTATTACCTGGCAGTAGCTAAAGGTATAGGAACTGGAAAATAAGGAATTTGCTTGTTATTGTTTTTTGGGCAGCGGCTTTCATTCAAGTTCGGTTAATTTAACAGAATTGTACCGAAATTGCTGCTAAATGACTTTCTCGGCAACTCTTTGTCTGTTGTTTATTGAGCTCAAATTGGAAATAATGTTTCAATTTCAGACTTTGTAACCTGAAGGAAAATAAGCATTAAATACTAACTGAAAAGAAACTGAATGTGAAAAAATTTTCCGAAAATAAATCAGACGAGGTGATGAATGTGTGTCAAGATAAATAAATGTTGCCTACGTTGAGCGAACTAGAAATTTTTTTAGATGCTGAATAAAAAATGAGAGACATTTTTTCCCTGATCCGGAATAATCACCTGAATTGGGTGTTACCACTAGGACTTTTTCAATTTGAAGCTCTTTGGGATTTCATGGTATCACAGCAGGCGAAACATTTTGAAAAGTTTCGAAAGAATGGCTGTTTCGACTATTATTTTAGTGTTTTTTCCACGGACCATCTGGTCAAATAATCATAGAAATGAACCGAACAATAAATAATATTGAAGCCTTTTCAATCATGACTCGAACGGCATTTCAAGTCGTTTTTTGGGTTTTAGTCTAATTTCGAGCGAGTAAAGTGAGCGAGTAGGTCTTGTAAACAATTATTTCTCATTCAAGTAGTAAAAAATTTAGTTATACTCCTGGAAAATCAGTTTCCGAAGCTTCATTTAGCTTTCTTGCTAACAATTTTTTTTTCTAACAAACAATTCTGCAAAAATTAGAAAATATATTTTAATTCGTTTTTTGTTTGCTATTCATCTTTCGAAGAAAAATTTTGTCGATTATGTCAAATAAATTAAGATTCTAGGCGTTCATATAGTTCTCTCATCATACTACGCACACTAGCACGCACAAAACGACACTAACTTGAAAAAAAGTCGAAAAAAAAGTTTTTGAACAGCAACCGGCAATCCTTTTTTTTGCTCAAAAACACGCCTGAATGAACATGCTGAACTTTTTGTTTTGAATCCATTTTCTAAAACTTGAATCTGCTCTATCAATGGTTGCTGATAGATCTTGGTAAAATCTTGTTTGATTTAAAGAAACTGACGGTCATTGTTTTTTTGGAGCAGAAGAAATATATCTGTCAATTTTTCCATAATCAAATCAAGTTCTACTATAAACGTCAATTTTTAGCACTTCTCTAGGCTCTGAGTTATGTCTATTTTTTGGGCATTTCTGGTCAGAATGATTGGTGACCGCTCGACTAGCATAAACGTTTGAAATTATTAAAAAATCTATCAACTAGCATAATTTTGCAAGCTTTGTTTTTCAGAAATACAAAATAACTATCTTAGTGCGCTCAAATTGAAACTTGCATTTCTCTTCTGAGCAACTGAGAAATTAAGCAATCAATAAGCCAATGATATTCCTCAACACAAATAGTGATCATTGGCAAACCCAGGGTCGGGTTTAGGGGGGAGGGGGGAGGTGGACGCCCTCTTCAAGGACTCGAATCCCTCACCAACGAAAGGGTCCCCTTTGGCGTTTATGACATCCATTTTTGGCGATCAGCCCTAAAAATTTTCAAGAGGCACCTTTGGCGGCAATATGTACTAATTTTGAAGGGGAGCGCGAGCCGAAAAACGCAATTTTTTGGCCAATTTTTGATGTTTTTTTTTTTCAAAAGTTTGCCTGTGGCGCAAAAAATCTTGTAAATAGTTTTCTGGGAGCGCTTGGAAAATCTATTTGGTAGTCCTAATAAAAAGGTCGAGAAAATCTTAGATCCGCCCTTGGGCACACCCGGACCTGTAATGGCTGACTTGAACCAAACGCTGATTGCAGCGCAAATTGTAAATAGTTGTAAGAAAAAACTGTCATTTAATTTTTTTTTTCGTTGTATTTTGATTTTAATTGAATTTTGTGTTTCGATTTTTATGCTGATATATAACATTTTCAATTTTTTAAACTTAATACTAGCCGAGCGCTATTCTAGTCGATGTACCGCCGAATAATTGCGCTACTCGGGACCATTTGCAGTCTAAATTAGCGTTATATACTTGGAGTTGTAGTGCCAAAAGTGACGTGAAAACCGTAGTTTTCCCGGCACGTACGCGAAGATGGTAAAAAAACAATAATGTGAATCTCTTCGTAGCGGAAGTATGCTGTTTTATATCTGCAAGCGCTAAGTAAACTTCAAATAAGTCTGTTTAATCCAATAGTACCTTTGAAATGTTTGATCAGAAAAGTTTGCCCTCTTCAAGTGCTGCTGTTGTGTTTTCCATGTTTTAGATTGTGCAACCAGAGTACTAAAAAGGTATTTGGGAAGTTATACGAAAGTTGGAAGAAGGTAAATAAGTTTGTGCAGTATTGATCTAGTATTGAGCTAGTATTGATCTTCGTTCTCCTCAGAATATTTTGTAAGAAAAACTGCATCAGATGAGACTTGGAGACTAAATATCTAAGCTAATTTTGTTGGTAAATAACCGTTTTTCAATTTAGGGAAAATTTGCCAAGACAAACGTTCGGTGCCAATACGTTCGGTGCCATTTTTGTTAGTAGCTCTTTGGGTTTTGTCGCAACTTTGTCAGCAAAGCTCCATTGTCTTAAGAAAAAAGTTGTGAGCAAACATACCTACTGCTGTGACAAGTCTAAATTAAGTTTTTGACATTTCAAGGCCATTACTCATATTATATCAATTATCTCTTGACATGTACATAAAATATATTTGAAAAATGACAATTATTTGGGGAATATGATTAACGACTTGATAGATGTCTTTTCGTCTGTTGTTATTAACGATATATCTACTGAATTAGCTTTATAAATCGAATCAAATAGAAGCAGAAGAAGTATGAAAGGAGGTGTTTTTTGTTTTTGTTGAAATGGTCTGCAAGTTGAGTAGATGAAATCGAAAATGAAATTACTGAAAGGCGATAAGGGTTTTGATTTTTTG